AAGAGGTATGATCAAAGCTTTGATCTTCATTTTTAGATGGTGCTGTGTGTGTTGTCAAGCTGAAAAGAGATTGATTTTTTTTCCCGAATGTGCTTAAAATATGCTTATCCTAGTCCACGTTTCTAAACAGCGTATTATGAATTTTCATCAAGAGCCTTAAATAGTCCACTGCTGGACATAGGCCCGTCTTTAGAAAGGAACGCTCATAATGAGGTAAAAAAACAAGGCTTAAAATTGAGAAGAGAAACTTTTATCCATCTAAACCATTAACCACTATCACCGAATATATATAATACTTTGATTTTGCCTTTATCACATCATCATCACATCAACAGCCTTAAATAGTCCAATAGACATAGGCCCCTTTTCAGAAAGGAAGTTTTAGCCTACTATACCACGCTGCCCAGACGGGTTGGTGTAGGGTTTCTGTCAAGTTTTCCTTCTCTTTGCAGTGCTGTTGTCCTGCGTAGTTTGCTCCCTTAGTCGGCTCTTACGAAACCCACGGGATGAATAGGGGTGGTGACACTCTGTATTCTTGATCCGTCACCACACGGTGTACTTATTAACAGAAAAAATAGATGTAATAGATATAGTAACAATCCAATGGGAGACCACTTGACTGGTTTGATTCTGATTTTGTTTGTATTTTTAAAAATCAAATTTCGAATATGATAAAGGTGATCTGTGACAAAAATTTGTCTGACACGAACAATGTCAAAGATTGAGAGAAGGAAGATCTTTAACGGTGGGAGAAAATTGTTGCTTTTATTTGATTTTTGAACCAAATAAGTGTATTAAAATCTCAGTTTAAACAACTAAGATATTAATATTATAGGTACGATAACAACTTATTGTTTACACCTCGTGTATCTGCTAGTAACAAGTCGTATAACAAAAAAATATGTTTTATATTATTATAAAATTATTTTAATAGTACGGTTTTAGTTATTAACAAAAGTTCCTTTAAAAAAATCACTGATCGTTTTCATTCTGATTAACTATAACGTATGTTGTAAAAGGGTCCTTAAATTCACAAAAATATTGCGTTATATCTAGCTTTCTAACATAGGCCTCTCCTTTCTAAGGAGGTGATGTGATGTGATGTTCCAGCTTTCGAGATAGACGGATAAGACGTCGGGCGGATAAACGGCTCGTGCACATCACGACCGCACTTGAATACCGAGTAGCAAACAGGCATCACATCTCTTTAATCTAATACCTTTAAACAGGCAATTCTTGTATATATGTATATATAATCTGAATCTCGGAAACGGCTACAACGATTTTCATGAAATTTAGTATGCAGAGGGTTTCGGGGCCGATTAATCGATCTAGCTAGGTTTCATTTTTAGAAAATTTACCCACAAAACATCCAACCAGGTACTATGTAATAATACATCAAATCTTGTTAAACATAATACAATTCATTACGAGAGTGATCCTAGTCTATTTTATAATGATTAAGAACGGAAATAAACGTAATCCTTAATTATTTTATACTCTTGAATTGCATGTGGTTAAAGACTATTTTACCATTCCACTAGGGAAAAGTTATTTATTACAGTAAGAACTTAAGTATTAACTTAGTACTTTGACACAGACAATCAGCTTTAAGCGAATGTGACTGCAGTATCTATTGAAAAAACAGTAACTTTTTTAGTTAGGCCATAATTTAAGACTGTCGAAATCTACCCTACTATGGGAATACCTATTTATACACCTTATACCTAGTGCTTATAAGTAAGTCCGCTTTCTCTTCCTGTAACAGTGAAACAAGGTACAGAACAACGCAGGCCACCTGCGTACCGGAGTTAGTGTGTTGCTCTATAGTATAATCTATAGGTAGGTATAGCTAATCATTCTCCATGAACATTTTTAAAGTATCTGGAGCCAAGGTGTACCTAAGAGGAGGTTAAATTAAGATTTGATTAACAAGAAACTTCAAACATAAATCAAAGACGTTAGTACCTAGTAGTGATGTAACGAATGTAAGATTTTTCACATTCGCGAATACGAATGCAAATGTTGATTTTTAAATAAAGTACGCGCAAAATGTCATTGCGTGTGCCATAATAAAATCGTGGCAGCCACGTTGAAACCGAACGTAGCCAGCCCTAGCTTTGACAGGTTAAATGAATGAAGTTATATAGTCACATTAAGTTCTTTCTGAGACTTGTTATAATTTGAGATTAGTTTAGTATTTGACTTTTTGTCAGATTTAAGAAAGTGTAACTTTCAGTAAGTAAGTGATATAAAAACATAAGTAAAGCCCGTTTTAACGAAGTTTGTACTTATTTTACAATTTGTGACACTGACAGTGACTCTTATAAGTAAATAAAAAACGATAAATCATAACAGTTGTATTTTCCTTCCAGATCCATCCTGTCCATATAGTTGTAATTTCCTTTTAGTCAAAAACAATGGCCGGATTGCAAACAATAGCGGATGGCGAAAAAATTGCGAATATTCGCGAATGCGAATGCAAATACGAACATTCGTTACATCACTAGTACCTACCTACACAGTGTTCGTGAACTACTTTGTGACATTACAATACCGTTTATTTGGTAGTTTATTTAATTTACAATTTTTTTATAAAGAATGGTAAGCACGCGCTTTTAAGGTCAATCACGCACAGTTTCACGATGGAGATCATGCATTCATGATAGCTGACCACCCGCGATATTCCCGCGTTAAAATTATTTGAAGACCTTGAACACTTTCATTAAAGTGTGACAAAACGATTTCGTTGTTTGATAAAGCTATGCTTTTTTCTAGGCAACAAAAACAGTATAAGTATTTGCGCATATTTGCGGAGCAATGGTACTCGTAGTTATTTCACTATTCCTGCACATTCATGTTTAATTTTATCTAGATCTTGAGGCGATGACTTTACCATTTTTATGAAGGATAGCCAAATAGATAATATTGTTTATTTGGAATAAAAATTACATTAACAACTTAAGCAACTTCGATATTAGTCACATTAAATTTATTTACATCGAGAAATTATTTATCTTTAAAGCCAAACAGTTCAAAAAATGCATTATACTCGTATAAATGGTCATAAACAAATTAGAATAAATAAATTGACTTAGCTTTATGAAAATAAATGTGCGACATTTAACGAACTATTTATTAAATTATTGTAATGTTCACATGCTCGTTATATTAAAAGCAATTACTTAGATAGAAATAAGATAGTACATGTTAAAGAAAAAGAAACAAAAATTACAAATTTAATTTAAGTAAACTGTCTAAAACCAGTTTTTAAATTTAAGCCTTCAACGACTAAAAACAAAGAAAGAAAAATTTAAGAAGAATTTAACAAAGAAGAATTTAAGGCTATCTTATTTATTTTCAGATAGTGATTGTCACCGAGTAACCAACGAAGTATGAACTTTGTGGGATGAATTTACACAATATCAACTAAATCAAATCGTGTGAGACCCTTCCTTATGCACAAATGGGCCGGCTCTAATAAAGTGATACCACGGCCACAGAAAACTGATGTAAAGCAATTCTTTCATAGCTTTACCATCGAGTAAATGAATAAGTGTTTTCACACATCTCACACACGGCCGTCTGATCCCAAACTAGGCAGAGCCTGTGCTATGGTAACAAGACTGCTGATAAACATGCTTAAATATACACATATTTAAGTATGTTTATTAGCAGTCTGGTTAATAATGTTAATACATACATATTATAAATAAAGGAGTCCGCGTTGAAAATTTCATAGGTTCATTTATAAATGAAATACAATAAATACTTTCTACGAGCGACGTCTTACGTTGTCGTCGTCTTACGTCTTAAAAATACAATATAAAGTTACTTTATATTGTATTTTTTATCGCTTGTATTACGGGAAGTGCTCCGAGAAATTGTTCGGACTTATACGGGGCCACAGATTTCTGCCATCTGTTGATCTGCTAATAGAATAATTTGCAATCCATCATCGTGCGCTTTTAAAGTAACTTTTTGTCTCAAACAACTAATCTTGTTTGGAACAAATTGTTAGTTGCGATATTTATAGACCAATATGACCTTCAAATCTAATACTGTGTTCACTGTAACAAGAGTGGCGGTATTCACTTGTAAGTCACAATGACCTGACCCGTCTGGTCTGCTTGTTTTCCCTCAATGTCTTAAAAATACGTGGTGTAACAGCTCTTTGATTTTATTGTAATTTATTTATTTCCTTTAAAAACAACTATTATTACAGGTTTAGAGCAATGCAATAGTGTTATACCATCTACTTATTTATTATAAGAAATAAAAAAAAATTTCGTACGATTTCAAATAAGGGTTTGACTCATATAATTGGCGAAGGTGCTTACCTTCGCCAATTAGACGAGTCAAACTTTTCCGGCTCGAAGGACCATGTTGAAGGCGTGAGAGGCTAAGCTTTGTATTATAATAAAGCTATTAATACAAAGCTTCGCCTCTTAATTATATTAATTAAGAGGCGTAGCGGTTGGCCCTCATGAGAGGTTCCCTGGTGGTTTCAATCCGTTACAATACTTTTAGTATGTACATATGTTGTCTAATTATTTTAAGACGACTAAACCGAACCAACCTAAGTAAGGCTCCTTAGCCAAATATAATGTAACTGATTCGTGAAGAATATATTTCAATACAGGTATATAATGCGTACATGGTTCCTTAGATAAATCCACCTTAAGTATGATTCGTTATCGAGCATAACTTCTTTATTGTTTTCAATGTTTTCGCCCTGATGCTCTATGATTTCAGAACAGAAATCTTTTGCATTTATGTCAGCAACCATTATACGAACGTATAAACGTTATGCATTTTAATAATTTTGTACTTTGTGAAAAACTACTATCATTCCTTTGGTAGAATAAGTTTAAACATTGGTAGTATTGAAAGTAGTTTTAACTGTTTTTAAAAACGGAACACTGGCATTGACATTTTGACATTTCTGTGTAAACAGAATTAGAGTAGTTAAAAATAAATTGAATTATCGATTTACAGGAATGAATAATATTTTAGAAACTCTTATTAATGCATCAGAAAAAGCGGCCTGTGTGGCACGCTCATGTTGTGCAGGACCACATAATGAAGAATTACTTGTTGCTGAAAAATTAGCCGAAGAAGCTAACGAGCGTTTTGAGCACGATTTTAAAACTTTAGCCGATGTCGTAGCCCAAGAAGCGGCTCGTTGTGAAATAGCATCTTGCTTCCCTGATCTTGCTAAACACGTGAGAGGGGAGGAGTGTACCGAAATAGATGGAGTTCGAATATCATTGCAAGACAGTAAAGAGGAAACAGCGGAACTGCTACGACAGATCGTAGCGCCTGTTGTAGCTGCACGTATGGCTGAAGCAGCTCACTGTAGCACCTTGCACGGCTTTAGTGACAAATTACCAAACAACTTGTCAAACATAGATACTTCTGACTTAGGAGTTTGGATAGACCCAATCGGTAATTTTATTTCATGACCCGTAAATACGATTCTATATATAGTAAATCTAAAATTTAACCATTACAAATTCTTATTGTAGATGCTACTGCAGAATTTATAGCTGGTGTTCGTGGAGAAGCTGATGCTGACAGAGGTCTTCTATGTGTAACAGTCCTTATTGGTGCTTACAGAAGATCAACTGGTGAACCTGTTATTGGAGTTATCAATCAGCCATTTTATGATAAGTAAGTTGGTATCTTAATTTTTCAACTTTTTGCATTACCAATGTTAGTGTTAGCATTAGAGTGTTAAGCATGAGGCTCAGAACCAATCGGGATGGAAACTTATTGTGGATGCCCTGTGCCCCTTACCCTATTGTCGAAGTTGAAAGTGGAAAGTTGTAGGATTTGATGCTGGTTTTTTGTCCTGTACAAGAGCTGATCACACCATACACAATCAAAGCCTGGGAACCTATCCAAAAAAGTAATGTTATTCTCTTTCCCATTAATTAAAAAAATAAAAATTATTATATAATCATGTTCTTTTTAGTGGAAGAGGTAGAGTAGTCTGGGGAGTCAACTATGGAGATATTCATGAATGGGGTGGAAGCAATGCAGTTGAACAAAACCATGTTATGCTGATGAGTGGAGCAGAAAAACCTGAAATAGCTGCAAAATTCAAGAATGTGGGCTGGGAAGTAAAAGCCGTCCCTGGTGCTGGCCACAAGCTTTTAAAAGTTGTCTTAGGTAAGTTGAAATTATTTATGTATCCTGCCTGCATACATCTCTTAGCAGGGATAACCAACCATTTACTCAAAAAGTGTACAACACATTTTTAAATTACGTGCATTATCTGTGCTCAGAGTAGGCATCTGAAAAAAGTAGAATTACATACTTCTACTTTCTATTTGACGACCGAATGGCGTAGTGGTTTGTGTAACGGACTGCTATTCCAAAGGTCGCGGGTTCGATTCCCGCTCAAGTCAAGCATTTGTGTGCATGAACATTTAATGTTTGATTTGGTCTGGGTGTTTCTATGTATAATATGTATGTATTTACAAAAAAAAAAAAAAAAGTATATATGTATTTATATCAGTTGTCTAGTACCCATAGTACAAGCTTTGCTTAGTTTGGGACTAGATGGCGTTGTGTGATTGTGGTAGAATATTATTATTATTATTATTATTATCTTCTTTCTATTCTATTTCAAAAATGTTTTGATCACAATAGCAATGTGATAACCCTTGTTTGTAATGCAAAAGTTGTTTTTTTTTTATAACAAAAGACAGTCTGTACACCCAGACTCAGAACAACAATTTGTGGATCACACAAAGTGTGGTCCCTTGTGGGGATCGAACACACAACACTCAGCGTAGTAATAAGTGGGGTGGCGACCGCGTGGCAAAGTGGTGGGAAGTCCACAATTTAATAAATTTGGTATCACTACTCAACAACCAATCACCATTTTGCACTATGATGAACATTAAGATTAAATCATTGTTATCAAGTTTTGTTAATGGTTTTGTGATACAGTGTGACGACAATTTCAGGCACATATTTGTAAATCATTATTATAATAATTTACAGGGGAAGCTGCAGCATACATAGTCTCACAGGGGACAACATACCGATGGGACACATGCGCTCCCCACGCCATACTACGAGCCAAAGGTGGTGATGTTCTATGTTACAAACCACACACTCCCGTCACTTATAATGTTGCGACAGGTATCAACCCATCCTATTATCGTAACAGTGAAGGTATCATAGCATTCAATAATCCATCTATATTAGAAGAAATAAAAAATGTACTGTGTGAATGAAACGATACGGATTTAAAAATCTTGTCATACATATATTAATTTAACACTTTGTACCTTTTTAAATTTTATTTAACTTTTTGGGGTTTCAAAGCATATATTATAATAATTTTAAGCTAAGAAGAATATACAGCTTCTTTCTTTAATTATCATCTGCATGACAGGCCTTTTGGTCAAGTGGTTAGTGACCCTGACTGCTAAGCTGGAGGTTGTGGGTTCGATTCCCACTCAGGACAAATAGTTGTGTGATGAGTACAATCATTTATTCTGTGTCTGAATGTTATTTATCTGTAAATTTTACTATTTTGAAATATTTAAGTACATATATTTATCAGCAGTCTGATTATCTTACTACAGGCTCTGCTTAGTTGGGGATCAGACTGCCGTGTTTGAAATGGGTGAAGTTATTATTATTGGGTTTAACTCTTGTAAGTGATGTCTAGTCTATGGGAATAGATGTAAGAAGACATTTTGAAAAGGAGATTTACTCAGTTCCAAATAAAAACAATTATAATAATATATATCTAACTAGAGAACAAGTAAGGACCCTGTTCTCTACTTAGATATATAGTAATATATTAAAAAACTAGCCTGTACCCGCGACTTTGTTCGCGTCGAATATGAAGTGCCTTAGTGGTGCAGAAGGATACGCGACTGCAGTCCATGAGGCCTCAGGTTCGATTCCCAGACCGGGCAAATTTTATAGGGGGTTTTCTGAGAAACAAAATAGCCAAGTTACTCCTTATAGGTACAGACAGCTACCTGGCAGTAAAATATTATTAAAATCGGTCCAACCGTGGCACAGGTATCTTGCATATAACCGTGTGAGCATGAAAAAAACGTATTATTTTGATATTACAAATAGACACTTCAATTTTATATATTTGTAGATGTACCTAGTTAAAAAAAAAAAATATTAAAGATCAATATTGACGGTGGTAGCTTAAGTAGATAATTTATGTATTATTGTGTGTTTGTGTTTGTCTATTGATCACTGCAATTAAAGGATACCAAAGAAGTATTAATATAATATTTATTATATTTACAATTATAATTTTAAGCATAATCAACTATGATCTCAATGTAAACCTTTTATTCTGTATGTTAACGAACATGATTCTCGAATAAAAAATAAAATCAATAATATAATTGTTTTATAACTTTATTCCTCCTACAATAACAAACTTAACTATCAACAGATTCTGAACTGGATGATGAACTTCTGCTTTTGTTTTTCTTTTTCTTCTTTTTTTTACTTTTCTTCTCTTTTTTCTTTTTTACTTTCCCTTCCTTTTTAACTCTTTGTTCTTTATCCTGAAATAACATTAGAGAAGCATAATATTAATCTTCAAAATCTAATTCTTTGGTTTCTATAAATATAATTTTGTTAGTTTGTTAAATTCTGAAATCAAGCATTGTAATAAATATAATATCACACAGTTTTTCAAATATATTTCAATTCTTTGCTCATCTCACTGAAACACAAATAATAATCGAGATAATAAGTAGCCTATGTGTTAATAGCATGAAGAAGTATAAAACATACAAACACACACACTCACAAACTTTCGACAAAAACTTCACAACAAAACAGTTATCCTGCATTCTATTGCTTCAGAGTATTATATTTAACACTCACGGAACAGAACCTTGTTTTCATGTTGCTTAGCAAATTTCTTAGTCCCAGCACATAAAAACTGGTAATTTCATAGTTACCCTGCTTTTGATTGGCAAGTAACTTTTCTTACTCTTACAAGAAATTACCAATATGCCGCTAATTGGCTGACAATGATAAGCTGTCCAAAACGTTATTTCCACTTGAACTCCCTGCATGGTCCCCCTAGGGATCCATAGACACTCACTAGAATAATTATTAAATTCATATTATACTTCAACCCCCAGACATTGTACAATGAAGTATAATACATTTGAGAAGCCTTGTAAACAATACAAATTAGCAGTTTTAAGTTTAGGTTAATCACTCTGAGGTGATCACTTACGGGCAACCATATGGAAAGACTGTATCGAGGGGATTCAAGGGTGATACTAAGTGTCCATGGACCGCCAAGGGGGTCCCCGCCTGGGGTTGCAGTGTAAAGAACCGTCCAAAACATATCTGTCTCATTTCATAAGTCAGTAAGTTCATAAATCCAGTATTATTATGAATTAAAAAAAAAAATTTTAGACTATACCTGTTTAACTACAACATCTTCAGTTTGAAGTGGTAATAAGGACAGTTGTGGTGCACAGCCTTCCATTCTGATAGCTGCAGTCAATTCATCAACTTTGCTCATGTCAGCATTGGGTGCCTTGTATTGCTCACAGTGGTCCACACGAATGGTACGCCCCAAAATCTATAAAATGAACAGAAGTAGAAACCTTAGATACACACGCTATGATACCATATCTATATGGGGGATACGCTTTGGCAGTATCTGGAACAAATCAGAATGTCAGTATATTCTTCATTTGTTCATTAAGTCGTCATCTTCAACAGTATCAGAAACACAAATCAAAAAAGTATTTTACTGGGTACTAATAGGTTATACAATAATTCTCAATACTCCCAGTGAAATGACTTTTCATTTATTTTTATCTTTATTGTATACAGTTAACACATAACTTACTTACAAATATATAGAATCTTCATTCATTCACCCAATTCATCTAAGGTTTTTCAATGAATTCTGATACTATCCTAGAATATTGTACTTTTGTAGATAGCTGTCAATACATCCATGTCTTCTAACACATCTACAACTTAACTGTCATATTTTTCTCTTTACAAATTTATTCAAGCAGGTCAGGTCATACCTGCAACCTGAATTGGCTATTGCCTCAAACCAAACTGGAGGTTATAAAAATATAATTAGGTGCTATGAAATTATCTTATCCATTAATATCTATTGTAAGTTGAAGTCTTCTGGTTCAATTAAAATGATATATATCGTACACACCTTAATTCCATTTAAATTGTCTACTGCAAGAATTGTGGATCTCTGATCTTCATAACATATAAAGGAAAAACCTCTAGACTTGCCTGTCGCCTTGTCTCTTACTAAATTGATGTTTACAATTTCACCATACCTGCAAGACATGTAAAAGTTCTTGTAGTTCACTACAATACTTATAAAGAAATCTAACATTTACAGTGGAGCTCTTTTTAGATTTGGGAACAAGACATATGAATAAGTTATTATAAGGTCTCTTAAACCTTGCATCATCATCATCAGCAGCCTTTAGTAGTCGACTGCTGGATATAGGCCTCTCCTTAGATAGGAGGTTTTGGCCTACTATACAACACTGGTCAAACAGGTTGGTATAGGGTTTGTGTGAACTTTTCCTTCTCTTTGCAGTGCTGTTGTCCTGTGTAGTTTGCTCCCTTAGTTGATTCTTATGACAATCACGGGATGAATAGAGGTAGTTAAGAGTCCACGCATGCCTCCATTAGCATATCACAAGCACTAGAGAAGTGCTTCAAGCCTATTACTGAAGATATTATTATATGCCATACATTGTATATCATGCATCTTATTGTAGGTTTCCAGAAAGACCTTAACAGGGAAATTTATATGTCTAGTAAGCATAGATACAATTTAAGGTCTATAACATTCCCTGAACAACAGAGAGACTTGTTGTCTATGTACATTGGCATCATCATTAAGATGTTAGCTGTTATAAAGAAAAAAACAAAGGTCCAATTACAGTAAGAAGTTAGTATTTGTCAGCTAAGAAACTTTGACCATTAACTACTGGTAATTAGTTGTACTTACTGTGAGAAAACACATATGACATCTCCTTCAGTAAGATCATACGGTAAGCCACCAACAAATATCCAAGCACTACCTTTATACTGATCATGCCAAGAACTTTTTGAGTTATTAGCCAATTCTCGTTCACTTAACTTTAGAACGTTTTTCACATTTCTGTAAAATAAGTGTGAAAGTTAAAAAAATATTATTTCGGTTGCAATCGTGATTCGGGATATAAAGGCTAAAATATTATTGTTTAAGTAATTGATATACGTACGTCATAGGATTCATTTTGATATTTAGTGAAACTTCGAATATAATTAGAAATAATTTTATCCTTTTTTAGGTTAACATTATATAAATAAACAATCCATTCTTGTCATGTTGTAGCCACAGATAACTATATGTTAAAAAGCCTAAAAAAATAGTTGTTGATAAGCCTGTAAAAATAGTTGTTTTTAAAGAAAATAAATAAATAAATGTTGTAACACTGACTGATTGATACACTCGCTCACTACATAGTAGCAGTGCTGCCAACTGTTAAATGAACTCTCCACCAGATTCAAGTCGATTCAATTCTCCACTAGTTTCCTTTATTAAAATTGAATACTGATACTAATAGTTTTTGTCAGCACCATCCGTTATTTCCATATTATTAACACGATTCTTTGGTACCGTTTTATTTTGTAACATTTATTGGAATTTCATATTTTTTGCAGCATTCTTCTTCAAACCACACCGTTTTCTTAATATAGCAGATAAAAGATTTAACTTCATTCTATTCCTCTGTTTATTTACAGTCTCTCAACTCAACATCGGTATTGAAATGAAGCTTATTAACCGAGTAATACCAAAGGTCGCTAATTCTTCAAATTTCAAAGTCCCTTGCCACCTTTTTTATTTTATTTTCTTCACGGAAAAGCAAGCATTACTTGCTTGTAGAAGGAGACGGCGGAGTTCTACGCACTCTCGCTCCGTACCACGGCGGCAATCATGTTTCCCTTGGGCCCTTGGGCATCTTTAAAGAGCAATACCTCTAGTATGTGAAAGTTCCTTAACACGTTGGGCATTGGTAGACAACAACGGACTGAGTTTCAGAGGTTTGAATGACATCAATCTTTATTTCTCATCTACTAGTCAACCGGATCATTAACCATAGAGTCGGACCCTGAATTATATCGTTAGTCTGTCCAGACCTAATATTTTCATCTTTCAATTTTCTCCTGCGACTTCTGGTTACATAGGAAAGATCATCCTGTCTGTCTGTTGTAAAGCAATTTTTTACAAGCCCGATGTAATGGTTTGCAAGCATATAGGAATGATAGTTAAGATCCTGGATTGAGTCCTCGAAGTTATAGCCGACATTAGTAACTTCTTTCTCGACTCCGAAACGTTCTTGAGGTGTTCTAGAAACTGTTTATGTATGCAAGTACACAAACAATTCTCACAGTTCATCTTTCAACAGAATTCATAAGTCCTCTACAATCTTACTATTACTACTAAACCACTAGCCACTAAAAGCAAAATTTTGCCAGTAAAAGGGGCCCGGGGTCGAAACCAACAGTTTTAGCGGAAAATCTGTCATTATCTGTGTGCACACGTTTTTCGTATTTTACCATTAACTTAGAAAACATACCGATAGAAAGAAGTCAGCCTATACCGATAGCGTAAACGGTCAAAAACCAGTAAATAATTTAAAATATTACGGGTGCAATTTACATTCGTATTGGCTTTATGTTTATTCTAAGCGTCAGTTCATTTGTTAGGCGTTTATACCTTAAATAAGGTTTATTCAGTTCTAAACAGTTCTACAGCATGCATCAACATCGTCATCAACAGCCTATAATAGTCCACTGCTGGACATAGGCCTCTCCTTAGAAAGGAGGTTTTGGCCTACTATACCACGCTGGCCAGACGGGTTGGTATAGGGTTTGTTTCAAGTTTTCCTTCTTTTTGCAGTGCTGTTGTCCTGTGCAGTTTGTTCCCTTAGTCGGCTCTTACGACACCCACGGGATGAATAGGGGTGGTGACATTCCGTATTCTTAATCCGTCACCATAGCATTATGTGTACTGATTGTGGTTGGCGAGCTTCAAATTAGACTTTCTCAAAAAGTACAGGCATAGTTGTAAAATTTGTATTCGTTCACATTCGTTTTATTTTAGGGTCTTTAAAGGTATAAAAAATTGCATGGTTCTGCGAACTTCTCTTAAAACTCTTCCCAATTCTTTCTATTTTTGTAGTCTGGACTATTAATTTTAAAAATTCGAGTTGGCAACATTGATTAAACAGATTGACAATTATTGACGTTATTGCGTAGCTACTAGTGATGCGCAAAATGTATCACTGAGCTGAAAAGATTGATATATATCATTTCGCTCAAAAGATATGTATCACTCATCTAGCTCACTAGCTCATTTAGCTCACTAACTCGTTTAGCTCGCTAGCCTTAGAGTATATATAAGCAGTAGCTATAGAGCGCGCGATCTCGAGTAAGAACAGTAGGCACGGGTGAGAACACAGTTCTCTAGTCTGTGTAGTGGCTATCGACCTATGGCGACGACAGTTCGTGAAGGCTTATAGGAACGTTATTTGTTTATTATTTCTGAACAATGGTGAAATGTGTTGTACAGTCGTGCAAAAACGATACTCGAAAACACAATAAACAGAAATCTAACATCACATTCCATCGGTAAGTAGTTTTTTAATACTTAAATACACATCAAAAATTTTTCGTCGCGGGGGTGAAGAAGACGCAGGAGGAGGGGTACAGCCACCTCCGTCCGCCGCTCGCCGCGAGTAGATTCCCCGCTGCAAATGGCAGCTATTAAATAGTGTGGTACCCGTTTACTTCGATATCGATATTTAAATGGTTAATATTTTATATTACAATTTGAAGTTAAATAATTCATTTATAGCTTTAAAAATAATTCATTAATAGCTTTAAAATGAAAATATTACAATTTGAAGTTAAATAATTCATTAATAGCTTTAAAATGAAAATAATTATCTCCTTTCTTCTGTACTGAAGATCGTTTTATACGATAAAAAGATTTTTGATAACGTGTTACAATTTTTATAATGCTTACCTAAGTACCTTATTTTCAGGTTTCCGAAAGATCCTATAATTATGAAAAAATGGGTCAACGCCTTAAAGAAGTCCGAATGGGAACCAAACATTTGGACCAGAATATGTTCACTACATTTTGCCGAGCGTTTTATGTACGAAACCAAAAGTGGACTTCGAAGGTTAGTGAATAATGCTGTACCTTCACTCTTTCTTCATTCAAGTAATGAGTATTCTGGCTATCAGGCGTTTCCGGCTGTTCCTTCAACTTCACAGAATGTAGTACAAGCAGTAGAACATATGTCAACGTCCACTAACCAACAAATACGCCCTGACCTGAATATCCCTGACACTCCAAGAAAGCAAAGGCTGAAACAACGAATAATTCATTTGGAGGATATAGCAAAACGCCGCCGTTTACGGTGTAATGCATTGTATGCATCACGTAGACGTTTAAAGAAGAAGGTGAAGGACGTATCTCGAATGTTAAGTGAACTAAAAGATAAAAGATTAATTAATCAAGAAGAAGTCAACCTTCTCGAAGTCTGTAATGTATCTGCAGCAGCACTTATCAAGAGAATGGTAAAAAAAACAAAGCAGTACTCACCCGAACTGCGCAAGTTCGCACTTACACTACACTTTTATTCTCCAAAAGCATATTCGTACATAAGAAGTACATTCAAAAACATCTGACAAAAAAATCCTGTGCAACTTGGTGATTGACGAAATGTCAATTCGTCAAATAAAGGAATATGACGGCAATATCGTGCATGGTTATGTAGATTTCGGTGCTGAATTTGACGAACCTGGGGACTTGTCATTACCATGCACACAGTCTCTTGTATTCCTTTTGGTAGCGATTAATGAACCATGGAAACTGCCAGTAGGATATTTTCTGGTTAACGGCCTTACAGGTGAGCAAAGAGCCAATTTAGTTAAAATGTGCCTGTTAGTTAAACTGTCACGATGCCGGGATTGAAGTGGCGTCAATGACGTTTGACGGTTGTCCATCAAACATCGCCATGTCTCGGGAGCTTGGTTGTTTATTTGAACACCAATACCAAGGTCAACTAAAAACCAGCTTTCCACACCCTACAACCAGCGAACCAGTTTCAATATTTCTGGATCCCTGTCATATGATAAAGCTTATTAGAAATACTTTAGAAAATAAAAAAGTACTTCAAGATAGCAATGGAGGTTTTATTAAATGGCAATACTTCGCAGATTTAAATACCCTTAAAAAAAAGGAAATGTTTCATCTTGCAAATAAATTAACTACACGACACATCGATTTCAAAAATCAAAAGATGAAGGTGAAGTTAGCTGTTCAATTACTAAGCGGTAGTGTTGCGAGAGCTATAGAATATTGCGATAAAGAATTACACATTTTGAATTTTAAAAACTCTGAAGCAACAGTTCAATTTATAAATACTATAAATAATCTTTTTGATATAATGAATTCCAGGAAATTTCCCGGAATAGACTTTAAAGCGCCAATAAATGAGAAAAATGAAACTAAATATTTGACATTTCTTGAAAAAACAGAGGTATATTTGAAACATCTAGCGGTTCCCGGAGACGAGCAGAAATTGATAAATTCAAGAAATAAAACAGGTTTTTTAGGAATGTGTGTATGCATGAACAGCTTGAAGGATTTGTATCAGAGGCTGGTAAAAGAAGAAAAAATATTAAAATTTATACCCATGTACAAAGTTAGTCAAGATCACCTGGAGATCTTTTTTTCTGTAGTCCGATCTCATGGTGGTTTCAATAATAATCCGTCAGCACTACAATTCAAAGCTATTTATAAGAAACTGCTTGTTCACATGGAACTCAAACAAAGTTTTAAAGGAAATTGTGTTCCTCTGGAGCACATTACTTTATTGACTTGTTCATCCTCGGCTGATCACATAAATTTGACTACAAAAGGATACAGATCAAATTCACAGATTGATATGGTTAATGTACAATCATTGGCTAACTTTGAGGAAGAGCCAGCAAATTTCTCAATTGATTTAACAAAAGTCTCGCAACAAGTTGTGTCATATATTGCTGGATATGTAGTCAGATACTTGTTATTAAAATTGGATTGCACCGATTGTATCCAGGCCCTAGTCGCGTCAAAAACCCAGTCGCACCATAGTTTTATCGTATTCAAAGACAGAGGTGGTCTCGTCTACCCATCCGAGGACGTAGTCAAAATTTGTAATACCACTGAATCTGTTGTAAAAAGCAACATTGACGCAAAAAAGCCTATTGATCGCGATCCTAAAAGTATGGTGATGAAAGCACTGAAGTTATTTATCGGTTCTGATGTTTTCAACGTTCTCTATGGTCACTCGTTCGAACAAGAAGCATGCAGCAATCATCTTGTACACCTACTGCGGGCTGTGATTCAAAAATACGTTGATATACGTGTAAAGTATTTTCTAAAATCAAACATGACTGAAACCAAACGACAGCTCTACAATAAGCTTACACTTTTTAAGGGTCAATAAAACATCTTTAAACGTTATAAAGAGTTTTTTTTTCTATGTTTCATACTTAGGTACTTACATGCTTTTTGCAACATATAATAAGGTAAACAGAGTAATGTGGGGTTCCTTGGGGGAGGCTTTTGTCTAGCAGTGAACGTCTTTCGTCTGTTTATGATATAACAGTGCAATGATTATGTACCTACATAACTACCTTCTTCAGTTCACAGAATTATCTACTCAATAGTACAATAGTACACCTCCCTTTTTACAGTGTACGAAAATAAAGTATATGTATTTATGTGTATTTATTTTATTGTATATATTGTATATGTTAGTTTAAACTATATAACTACTATGAAAACTGTAACCTCAGTACACCTACCTCACCTGATGTCTACACCACACAAAAGTTGGCTAGTAGAGAATGCCCTGGGCGTTAAGTCCGCCGATATGTACAAGTGCATAAAGTTGTAAATAAATAAATTATGTTTACCACCTGATTCTAAGAATTATCAATTATATTTTGTCTAACTGTTAATATTCACAGGTCTCCGTACTTGTTCTTACCTTGTTTTAGGATTCAAAGGAAAAACCTACCTACCTACTTTTATATTTATGAAACAACAGACAAACAATATGCAGTGAGATTAGATATCAATCACTTAGATAACTTCTCCTTAATTTCCCTTCGGTTCACCGCTATCGATATCGTCGTGCCGTTCATGACGTACCGCTTCACTATTTTAGTGATACATCAATACATAAGTATCTATATAACATCTGCATACGAACGGCACAACGAGTCATAGATGGAGTGCGCGCTCTATAGCTACTGCTTATATATACTCTAAGTCGCTAGCTCATTGATCTGATTCATTGATTGGTCTCTCAATTAATTCATTTCTTCATCTAGATCGTTTAGCTCAGTATACTCGTATATCATTCACTTCAAGCCTCTCTCGCCATACAAACCTTACTTTATTTTTATATTAACCTAAATTCAGTTTTTGAAACTACATTTTTAACCTATTTTTTTTAAATACAATTTTATTCATTTTGATAAGATTACATAATTATTAACACCCTTTTATATAATAATTAAAAATAAGAAATTATTTCTTGTACTTTTTTTAGGTTGTATAGTAATCATACATAATTTGATTATCCTTGTACTTGGCTTAATTCTTAAGTAATATTAAACTTTGATCCTATAGAAATAATGTACATTTTGCATAAAGAAACTTGCGTGAACTCAACCATCATCTATCTCACTCATTTCTTATCTTTAGTCTCACTCGCTCATGAAAAAAAGATCTGCGTCGTTGAGCTAGTGATCTAGTGAGCTAGTACTGAGTTACTGATAATTCGGAGCTAGTGTGAGTGAGTGATACATTTTATCGTCGTGAATGATATATATCTTTTATTTCACTCACTCAGGAGCTACACAACTCTAGTAGCTACCTACCCAATAATGTCTATAATCTGTTCAGTGTTTGATGTTTGTTGTGTTTCTAATAGTTTGACACGTTGGTTTTTGTTTTAATATTTTGTCTTGCTAATCTTAATTTTTTTAACTATCATAAAAACGGTAACGGGTATTAAATTCTACTACAATGACAACTCCTGCTCCAGATGCTGATAACTTTGATCAGGTTAGTCTAATACGTGGTAATAAAATATAAATGTTGAAAGAACCCCGTTTAAACTTTTTGTGTTGTAGTTTGATGAAGAAGAAACCGAACAACAATTGGGAGCGACTGCATCGGGACGCAAAAGGCTTTTCAGTAAAGAATTAAGATGTATGATGTACGGGTTTGGCGATGATCAAAATCCGTACACAGAAAGTGTAGACTTTTTGGAGGATTTAGTTATTGAATTTATTACGGAAACTACACACAGGTACATACATTATAACATCTTACTTGGAATATAAATGATATGCACTGGAATTCTCTCAATAGGTACAAGTTCTACTTAAAAATTTTCAGAGCAATGGAGGTCGGGCGCACTGGGCGAGTCCAAGTAGAAGACATCATATTTTTAGTTAGAAAAGATCAGCGTAAATATGCTCGTGTTAAAGATCTACTGACAATGAATGAAGAACTTAAGAAAGCAAGGAAAGCTTTTGATGAAGTTAAATATGTTGGTGAGTAAGTCAATACCTTGAAAATATTGAATGATATTTGATTATTCACACCTAATTGAACCGAAGATAAAACTATCAATAGAATGTGATAGCCATGCAATTATTACTTTTTAAAAACATCATAAAGATTGTTACATAAAATAGATGTATATACATAATATTGTATATTATATTTGCTATAAATGACTTTGTTTTTATGAACTTATAGAAGACCAGCAATAACATAGATGATCAAACAACAGATGATGCTTCTAAGACTGATGCAAGTAAAATAGTTTAAGTTCTGATATATTGCTTTTGTGTTTGCACATGCAACTAACAATATTTTAAAAGATATGTAACTGTGTGTTTCCTTGTGGCATAATCTCTAAGCAATACCATATTTAAAGCACTTGTGTATATTTTTTAGTAGCGAAGTTTTAATCTTTATTTGTAATTACCAGCATCCAGAATAGGTAGAGTATATTTACCTGAAGTTGTTGAGTTGATAATGCCTTGTCTGTCAGTTTGTTCTGGTAATCCTCAAAACGACTGGACCCATTTTGATAATATTTTACTACCAGGTAGCTGTCTATATAAGAAATAACTTAGGCAATTTTTTCTCTCAGAAAAACTGTAAAATTTTGGTAGTCCGGGAATCGAACCCACTAAGGTAGCGCAAATTCCATGCGACAGTCACAGGCACCAGTTAGTTGCATAATATAATAAGTAAGAATAAAAACCTTAATAAGTATTTTTTTTTGTCCCGGGATTGTGATTGTAATATTAAACTACACAGGACAACACGCTGCAAAGAGAAGGAAAACTTGAAACACTTTACCAACCCGTCTGGCCAGTGTGGTATAGTAGGCTAAAACCTTCTTTCTAAGGAGAGGCCTATGTTCAGCAGTGGACTATCGTAGGCAGTTGATGTGATGACGTGATTGTAATATTTATGGGATTTAGTGGAGGTATTATTAATTCTGTGCTACTTACTTCCTTGAAACTTTCAGTAATCATACTCTACCTATTCCAATATCTGATTATTATGTTTAACACATTTTCTTTTTATTTATTAGTGATGTATTGTCACTTAGGCTTTAACTGCATATAATGACATCATAAACTTAAAAACTACTACGCATATCAATTTTATTCCACTTTTATGATTCAGTCTTCGGGTTTTCCTTTAATAAAATAACAATTTCAGCAATTTAAAACCATGCCTGAAGCTATAAAAATAACCTCAATCAGTGTCTAACTTGTTCTTCTAACATTAATGTCTTTTTCTGGACAATTTGATTGTTTTAGTTGTGGTGTAAGTTAGTAGTAGTAGTAGAGGTGTAATATTTAATTCCCAGTTAAGATCATATTATTATGTTTGAAATCAGTTATATTGGAAAAGGGTTTCTAATTGAATAATCTAATCTAGTTGAATATTCGTAAGCTTGTTTCGATAAAATTGAGTTTACAATTAGGACAATGTGATAAAAAATAAATCAATGGAAAAACAAAAAAATAAGAGATTGTAGCGTGAGAAGAAAATGAGAGTTGAATTCAATTTCGTTAGAAAAGTTTCGAGATTTTAAAAGCGTTTATTAAAAAAAATCGTGTTTTGTCGACCTTCATTTTCTCAGCTTGTGTGACTGTGGCTGTGGAAATCCGTTCTAGGCTTCAATTATAGCTTTTAATAATGTTTTTTTTTGTAAAGAAAAAAATCGTCGCAAAATAATATTAAGCTTATGCACAATTTGCGAAAATGTAAAAATAGGTGCCTCGGAAAAACCGAGCGCGATGGCTAACAGCGCTCCTAGTAGGCGGCAGAGGGAGCTTGAGCATTGATCTCGCGCCGGAGGGTCTCCAAAATTAATAAAACCCTTTTTTGCAATAATCCGATTTTGTGCACCTGTTCGATTTTTTTTCAATAACTTGCCACATACCAATTATTTCCAAAGTATTTTTTAACTACATATTTTTAAATAAATAGACTGGTTTTCTTCCAAAATTAGTATTTTATTCACTTGTGTAGTCATTATATGTAAGGGCATTTTATTTTTATAATTATTTACTAATATATATAATATATACTTATTTATAGTATGTATATAAAGCATGCAAAATAAGTAGCTAAATTTTTTATTTTATGACTATTACTGGAGGTTTAAAATAAAACAACTGCCTATTCATTTACTATTATTATTGAGCCTAATTAAAGACATATTTATAAAAAAAACAACTCAGTTACTTGCTCCTTATTTGTTATTTGGCTGTTTCTTCATTAACATTTGATAAACATTACATGATACATATTTACAAAAACAAAGATTTGAAATATTAACATTCTTTTTTATTGTACTATTCAGCTTGCAAAATATTATTACACTTATACGCTTACTAGTGTTTTACTTTCAAATAGGTCATGTTTGTATTGTATTGTAACAAAATGGATAGCAGTTATGTTACACAGATTAATAATTGTAAATCCATCCAGTTCTTGGTAGAATATTATCTTTTCGAAATTTGTGTGTATGCCTTATTATACATGTATACCATGCCTGACAATAAGTATTGCACTGTTTAATATATTAGAAAACTTGTTAATATACCTTATTAGATACAGAATATTAATTAATATGTTCACTTTCTCGTTGAATTAACTATATATATATATGTATGGGACTTAACACTATTTATTGCGTTAACTTCAGTATGTGTTATATGTATATTATCATGTTCTAAGTATGTTGATATAATGGTAACATTTTATATTTCAGAATAAATCACTGGCCGAAGTTTGTTATTAATACTTGAAATGTATGTTCTATCTCATTGCTCTTGTTAAATTTCAATATGTCAAACTGAGGAAGCAAGTTAATATATTTTACCGATAAGTTGAGTTACGTCATGACGTAAGGTGTTCTCATTTTAGAAGTTTAATAGTAAATGTATTTTAGGAGTAAGGAAATAAAAGACATTATTTTTATATTATGTTTTTTTTTTTATATGGTTCCCTGAATGGTGTAAGCACTTGAAATAAGACCGTAATCTGTACAACTAAATAAAATTAGTCGGTCAGTTTGTGACAGTTTTTATTTAATACTTCTACATGCGTTAAATGAAAAAGCTCATGTAGATACTATGTAGAGTTGATTGTTACTTGAAAGAAGGTTATTCATGTTTATGGTACTTATACCAAATAAATAAGTTTTTCCCTATCCACTGATGTCCATAGCGACTAAACCGATTTCTTCGAGACTTTCAGTGGTAGATACCTAATTTTATAAGAAGTAACAGACTACTTTTATTTTTGAAACATAATTGGTTAAGTTTCCAGCAAAACACAAATATGTACACAACAAATCGTTTCTTAAGACACAATTAAAAGCAATATCGTTTCTTAAGACTTTATTTGTGTGATTCATTAAAGTTATATTATTATAATACACATTGATAATACAGTATAACGGAAAACTTTTACAGAGGAAAGTAAAATATTAAACATTAAAAATAATTAACATGATTTTTGAAGTATATACGACCATTATAATAATGTTAACTCTATAAATAAAAGTGAATAATAGAAACAACATTAGACTGGAACAGCAATATGTGCTGCAAAGATAAAAAAACTTATGGCTTCTTGAAAAAGAAGCGTGCTTTACATAACAAAACAGAAACCTTAGAAGCTTGAAGTAGGTATGTTTTAATATATTGATTACATAAATAACATATTAAAGATTTAATTACTTATGGGTATGCCTGACTAATTTCAGAAAGGTTCCTTTTCAAAGAGTGTGAACACGAAATACAACACGTGAGTAAAACCCTATATCTTTAGTAAATAACATTTATCTCAACAAGATGAAAAAATATTTTAAAATGGCCCCCGTCAAATTAGTGAATACATAGGCGATGAATTGAACACTAAAACTTCTTATAATTTATAATGTTTAAATATTAACGACGATAATAACTATTTACGTGCTTTCACAATTTTTAGATAGGTGATTCCTAATAATTACGTGTAAATATAATATTTCAACAAAACGTTCACATTTCAGGCGACTAGACAAGGTTGTCAAAAACAGCCAAATGTCTAAACTTTGGTTTCATATTGCGTATTGTTTTTTTTTTATATCGTCAAATAACAAAGTCTTACAATTAGGCCTTTGATGGCAGTGTTAACCATTTAATATGTTTATAATTTAAAATATTTACTGTATAACTGTGCTAAGTGTATCTAATACCTTTAAACTAGAAAATATCAACATTGAGGATTTCTAGTAGAACATAGGGGGCGCCATGGCAGGTATCAATCGTGGTGCACAGGTCCTTGGTAACGTAAGTCTCATGATTGATCTCTTGGCTGTCAACTTGCAAGCAAGAACAGATATTCTTTTCAACTCAATTTTTTTACGTCAGTGTTTTACTGCACTTATATTTATCCTGCAATTAATCTTTGCATTTTTTTAAATACTCATTTTTAGAGATCATGAGCCGCGAGAAATAATAATCTCATAACAGGCTATTCATTTTATATTTGATATGTGCCATTACGATTCCCTTCAAGCAACCAGTCTTTACTTGCATTATCTTTCGAGCCAGACTGTTACAGTTGTTGACATTCCCCAGATTAAATAAAAGATATTAAATCTACAAAGTCTCCAATTTACCTACATACTAAGCTCTCTCACATATATTTTTTTTATCTGTTTGTTTCTTTCATAAATTACCTAAATTTATAGTTGATAAAATGTGGGCCACAAGAATATCTAGTATTTACTCAAAATAATTAAAAAAATGGTAACATTATATATCATTCGAAAATTAAAGTTAATTTTAAAAAAAAGTAGTTGTTTTACAAGAAAAGCAAACATTTGAGCCCATTTAAATATTAAATTCTTAAAACAAAAGATTGTATCTATGGCTGATATATTTAATTAAAATTCAAGCTTGTAGCACAAAATTAACATTAAAAAGTTTGGAAGTTATGTATATACTCTTAGATAGTGGTCCATTCAATTTATAAAGAACCTCGTTGCTGAAACATGAAAACATTTATCACGACTTAAGTAGCTAATTTCTGGAAGTTTCTGAATAAATAATGTATTACATAAAAACAGTCTTAATTATATGTAAGTTGACTTGTTAACAGCCTGGTAAATAGACAACATTCAATTATAAGAAGGCGTGTCTCAACATGTTATTGTCATTGCAATGTTAATTGTTACGACAGAACAAGACTTGAATAACAACTTATAAGTGAGTAATGTTTGTATATTCGACTCTGAGATAAAAATATCAGTTAATATTGTGCATCAGTACTACGAAATGATTTAGGGAATAATAAATATGGAAGGCGAGGTTATAATCTTCTACAATTAATCATCGTCTTTAAGACTAATCTGTGTACTATTCCACTACTTATTTAAAACTACATAATATAATGATTTGTATATATTTTTCTACTTTTATAACAGCCAACGCTAAGGCAAGTAAACCTGTATATTACTTATCAAACCTACACTTAATTATGTATAAATAATTCCAAAGAATAAATGTGTAAATAGGTATGGAAGTTGTCGAATACAAATCTCTCATCCCGATGAGAAAGATGAAAATACCGGTATGAAAGGTGCATGTTAAACAGAATCAATTATATTGTAATTAGGCAGCACATAATGTACATACATTGCAAGGCAATAGTCGACAGAAAGAGTTTCGGAAGAGTTCGGTTTTCTTCAAGTAAATCTTAGTATCTTAGAGTGGAACAAACCAAATGGTGAACCACATTCATGTTTCGTGGTTTTTTGAGTAACAAACACACCTAGAGTGCTTTGTGCTAAATATTACAATAAATACTTATTTTTTATGCTTAGTGCTTAGTTTCTTAATAATTACATAGTAGTGTTTGTGTAGATGTTGAACGGTTAAGACGTTAATATGGAACCTATTGCCTATAAATATTCTGTATTCTTTATAAGGCAATAAGATTAAAAGTTCCAGTAGCATCGGATTGGTTCAACTGACAGTAGGGTCACTAAATAGGTATACACAACCCCTTGTCAAATACCTACAAGTGTTATAATAGTAGCAAACACTTAACAAGTGCGGTGTTCAATGTAGGTCCCATATTAAAATACATAACTGCACCTATCTAGATATTTTTATGAAATTCTCAAAATTTTATAACGGTTTCGTTTCGAATCAATAGGCCAAAATGACACTTTTTCCAAATTTTTTTTGACAATTCGATAACCAAATGGAGAAGTCCCTGATGATCTTCATGTTTATTTATTGCAAAGGCTCACGAAATCGGACTCATAAAATTAAAAGTTGAAATAGTAACCATAAAATTGAAAGTTGAAATGGTAACCAAAACACTGATGGTTATTGCTGTTTGGAGTGCGGTCAGGGCTTATTGTGCTGAGCTGGGATGTTTAGTCAGTAGGCGGGTCCATGGCGGCGATGATGCCCTTCATGACAGCTGCGGCTGCTAGGGCGGCGTGCGGCTGCCACTCCTTACCACGCGTACCGTCGCGGTAGTCTGATATACCTGCAAACAAATATTATTCTGTTATATAATGCGCACGTTGCAAACAATTCATATAGGTGGGCACCTAATTTGGGCGTCGGCTCGTAGGCCGTATTCATGCAGCCTATTTCTGACGGATTGGTAGCTAACAACAACACCGCTTGAGAATTGTATTAAAGCTACAATTCTTTAATGGCTAATGTCTTGCAGTCAGTTGTATGTATCAGTTGTCCTGTTGAGGAGTTGTACTCTTTCTACGTCCTGGGTGCTGCTGGTGGTACAGCAGGATCACGCTCCTATTGACACCAAAATTCTCGCTTGTAGCATTCCTACAGCTCCCTGTATTTTATCAGCAGTCAAATGGTATTGATCCGTGACATAAAAAATGACTCAGTACGATTTTTTTTCAAAAACTGTATATCTCAAAATGATAAAAGTGAGATAAATATAAAACATCCGTCGAACGGACACAAAGAAAACCCAGACTCAGAACAATAATTTGTGGATCACACAAAGTATTGTTTCATGTGGGGATCGAGACAACAACACTCAGCTTAGTAGGAAGCGGCGAGGTAGCCGCTTTACCCACTACGCAATCCGTGTATTATGAGTCTAATAAACGCTGCCAAGTTTCCTTTTACCTCTTAAACGTTTTCATGCAGGGAAAAAATTACGACGTAAAAATGATTTTCAGGATAACCCGCGTGCGGCTTGCAGTAAAACATACCTACTGGGGTTGTTTTGAAAGTGAATTTATTGGAACCGGAATCGAAGTTTTTAAATTTGATTGCCGAACAGTTTTTAAATTTGATTTGTTTTTTGGTCTCATTAAATTGAATTAAAGTCGAAGGTTTTTTTTCGGTTTGCTGCTTAATGCATACTGCGTACTCAGTAATATGCAAATACATAGGTAGTTTAAATGTCCTTTAAACGAAATATATGTACCTATTGATTTTAATTGCGTTTTAACCGACTTTAAAAAGAAACGGTTCTCAAAAGCACTTAATTAATTCCTTTTTAATGAAATTGCTTGTACACTCAAGGTTGGATCCAATTTACCATTGTTTATTCATCTTACTACTATTCTGTCACACATCAACAGCCTTGTATAATCCACTGCTGAACATAGGCCTCTTCCTAGAAGGTTTTGTCTAAGAGGTTTTGTCCTGTCGTGTCATGTTTTCATTTTCTTTTGCTATTGTCCTACGTAGTTTTCTCTATTAGTCGGTTCTTGCGACACCCACGGGATGAATAGGGGTGGTGACATTCCGCATTCTTAATCCATCACCACACGGGAAATTCCATCACCACACCAAAAATTTTCTGTCCCACTCTAGTTTGATTTGTGGAGGAACGGGTATCATGTCCTTCCAACACAAAGGGAGGGTCTTGCGACTGTGTGATCATGCCTGGCGGGCCGCGGCCGTACGGTTGATGTTGGAAAGTTGTATATATGCTAATCGGCGAGAGAATTCTTCATATCGCGATACAAGATTAGCAATTCTCATTCAGTAGTTACTCCGTAGTTCCATGTGTCGTCGTTAGATGGCGCTGTAGTATATTTCTGTTTCTTTGTGTGTAGGGGTCGCCACATTACTCGTATTTGTTTTTTGTTTGTATCTGTCCAATTTCTTATTTATATGCCTAATATTTTTTCAATAAAATTATATAAACACTAAGTTGCCGTTCCTTAACTGTTAAATGATAGAAGTTGGTTGATACCTTGTTCGAGTTAGTCTTATCATATTTTTTCTTCTATGGGTTTTACAGACACATATTTCATATAGGTGTCTTTTTTTCATTCCAAACAAAAGAAAATAAGTCTTAAAATAATTACTAAATGTTGCATCCCAACGTTGGTATAAAAAATTCTTCCCTATCGTCTTCTGTTGCCTCTTTAAAGTTTAAAAATAAACATTAGCAGAGCGTATTAAAATCACTAATTATTTCCTCTCAACACCTTGAAACCAATTACTTCCTTCCTTTTCAATTTAGTATATTTTTTCCTTCCTCATAATAGGATGTCTGACTGTCAAGTCAAATTAGTATCTTTTTTACACGTCAAAACGCTTGACGCGGTTCATACCTAGCTATTGTCAAATAAGTTATATTTAATGTTGATATAAAGATATTAAATCAATAAAGAGATTAAATTGATAATGGAGGATAATTCAGGCTCTACTTTAAGATGTTACATTTAATGATGCAGGCGAAATGATTTATTTTAAATCTAAGAATGTACCTACCCTATTCTTCATTATCAGAATTATTTTGCGAATCGAAAAGATTTAGCACAGCAGGATGAGTATTCTTATTTACTAAATTAGTATAATTAGATTATTACTCTTTTGCTGTGAGTTTAGGCAATGTTCTAACTTAGTTAATTGAGTACCCTGATTTTTTGGCAATATAATTACATTACTTATAAGTATACAAGTATACAAAGTCGCGATTAGACTTGCTATACAAGCAGGTGTTTTTTTGTTAACTATTGAAACAATTGCATTGTTCATTATTTGTATTTCAAAGAATTATTGTAATGAATTATCTTTACATAAAAAAACGATTATAAGTTCAAAACGAATTAGTAATTTCTACTCAGAAACGTCATCGACCTCATTAAATTCGTGTCCGAGACCTATAACCCGCCCTTCCGCAAGTTCGTCGAAGAACAGTTCAAAGAAATACGATAGCTGACCTCTAATGGAAACGAAGCAGTCCTTCCTGTTGCCGATGACACTGTCGAGTACGGCGTCGAGCTCGCAGTCGTAGGCGAGAGCGCGCGCGTGCGCAGCGAAAGCGGCGCGCGCCTCGCCCGACGCGCACACGCTGCGCCCGCCCGCCACCGGCGCCAGGTGCACGCGCACGCCGCCGCCCGCGCGGTCGCTGTAACAACGTTCATGATATTGCTTATACATCCCTGGCACATATCTAAACTCCTCACAACGTCTTGTGTTGTTTTGTTTACCTTTACTAAAATCTTTCGACAATAATTTTAGTTTTTTTTTATCGACATTTGACATTTATGCGATGTGTAATCTACTGGATTACAGTAATATATAAAACATTTTTAAATATTAAGCACACAAATATTATGTGTAATTTCAAAAACTAGTGGTTTTGTATGAGTAATATTTCATAGATATGAAAAATGCTTTAAATTAACTGAATTCTAGCCTGTACTAAAAAAAAATTGACAAAGGATTGTGGCATTGCGCAATTGACAAAATGGGTACTAGAGGGGGTAGAATAGAATCCTATAGACTATATATGATGACCTGGTAATAGGTTACCGATTTTTCTCAATCGGACACAGCGCTAAGAATCGTCAGTTGATTTTTGTTAGAATTAATTATAAATATATGTAAAATACAGTATATTTGGGTATTTTGAAAATCTGGACCTGGAAATACCTTGGATGACAACAAGTATAGTGCCACGTACTAATAAATTTTCCGTAGTCCTGGGAATAAATGAATCCCCTAATCCCATATTAAGTAAATAAGAAATATGTAACTCATACTTAAGTTATTTAGTACCTGCTATTATTTACTAGGCTTGCACACGAACAAAAACAATATTTCCTAATATATGCCGATCACGAAAACATCTGTCACTACTTGGTTATTACAACAGTTTTTTGTTGATTGATTAGGTACATATTTACCTCTTACAAGCCATGACCTTGCTTATCGTTACCACCGTTATGACTATAGTAGGATGAATACAAGACAAAAGTCATACGTATAATATTGCCAATATTATTGTCCACCTAATTTTAGTAAGTTTACGTGCTCTCAAAGAAACATGTTTAAAATAATTTATGAACATTTGTCCGTGTAGTGACGGATTAAGAATACGGAATGTCACTACCCCAATTCATCGCAAAACAACGCAGGACACCGACAACCCGTCTGGCCAGCATGGTATAGTAGGCCAAAACCTCCTCACTAGAGAGGCCTATGTCCAGCACTGGACTATTAAAGGCTGTTGATGTGATGTGATGTGATGCCTTCATCGACTGATAACTATGTAAACAAATATTGGACGTCAATTTTAACGTTCCAAATGAAACTTTATGTGTATAAATAGTATAGGTGACAATGCTATAATTTGGCATACCAGATGCCGAATTTTGATTTAGCATGAAGATGGGTAGTGAAACGATTCATATCACATTATATCAACAGCATTTAATCACCCACTGCTGGTCATAGGCCTCTCCTTAGAAAAGAGGTTTTGGCCTACTATACCTCGTTGGCCAGACGGGTTAGTATAGGGTTTAAGTCAAATTTTCCTTCTCTTTATTTACAGTGCTGTTTACGGAACTCCCTTAGTCGGCTCTTACGACACGGTATTCTTAACACGTCACCACATGAAACTATTCATTGGCTACTAAACCCCTCGTGTTTGGGCTTATATGGATATAGATAGAAAGATCTTTTTGCTTTTAACTGTATGAGTGAGGTTACCAAAAGCCCAAATCCTAATCCTGAACGGGCGGCGACTACTTGTGACTCTTGAGTTGCTGATATCCATAGGCAGGGGGGTGACGTGTGACGCCATCTGTCACCTTAGCAGAAGCAGGCCAGGCTGTGGAGTGCGCGCCTTACGCCCGGGGTACTAGGGATTTCCTTCCTAGGGTACACCTGGTTCCCCGACGTCGTGCGGTCTTTAGTCAGTTCGAGTTCAACATAACTACCGGTGTGTGGTATCCGAGGGAATTTCCGCTCAGGAAAAAAAAGAAAAACAGGCAGCGCTAGTCAGTTACTATCAGGTGACACGTCGGCGCTTTTGCCCTTGGTGGTATTGGTACCATGAAGAGAAGATTTATACATATGTATGTACGTGTGCGTTACCCCAGCAAAATAATGTCGAAAATGGTCATTTAAACTTTATAGATAATTAGTTGCTCCCCTTCTGTAATTGTTAAGCACATTTTTAAATTTGTTTCACTTAAACTTTTTTAGTTATTTCAAAAAAACATTTCCTGCTGGAGTAACGTTTGAAACGTTACCGCAGCCAGACATTTTCTTTTTTAATTGTAATATTGAAATAAATTTTAGCTAAATAATTAGTTATCTGGACTAGGTAAATGTTACAACTTATTTGGTATTTGTATCTTCTTCGGTTGCGAAGTTATTCGAAATCCTGCTGGAGTAACGTTTGTGGGTTTGCTGGATCTCTGAAACGGGTAAGCGGATTGTAACCATCTTTTGTACATAACTTCTTAAGGATTAGTTTTAATTTGTTCGACAATAAAATAACAAAAATAATGGACCGTTTAAAAACTATTTAGGTAAGTATGAAAACACTTAAATACGTCCTAACACTTTAAATAAGACCTCTTAAGACTTACTTGAAACGTTATTCTATTGCTTGTAACTACCTTCAAATGTATACGAATTTTCGTAAGAATACTGTAAGTGACTATAAAGTTATGATGAAATGTAGCTCTCCACGTTCACGATCACAATGTGTGCGGCCTTTTTTGGCCACCGATAAACCTGTGTGTGGATATATAAACTGAATGTTATGCCAATAATTAGTTGTTTAGTTCAGTTGTCTACCTGTAAAATTTCAGCGTAGTACATATAATAATTTACGAGATAATTAAATAAAAGTCATTAGAAGGTGCAAGACCGTGGTAACCCGACCATGTTTAGGTGGTTACAAAAAAGCGATCACCCAGTACATTGTGCTGGCTTTTAAAATATGTAGGATATTATTTGCAAGTTTACTACGGATATGTACATAAGTGTTACAAAAAACTACATGTTTTTTAAATATTTTTTATTTAGGATTGTTTATTGCATAATTAGTAATCAGCCGGGAGATTAGGTATTATTTTGAATGCTTTTGTTTTCTCGTAATGTTTAGGTGAATTGTTTATAGTTGTTCATAGAATTGGTACCTGCGTAGTATTTGTTAATTGAAGTTTAATTTTAGGGTAGGTATAGGTAATTTAAGAAATATGAAATGAAATGATAAGTTTTGAAGAGTGTAACGTATGCGTTGTAAATAGGTATTTTGTGAATAGATGGGGATTTTTTTAAGTGATGAATCGACTTAGGCTAGCATATCGCGAACAAACTCTGTATTGCATTATTTCTGTAATAATGTTGGAGAAAATAAAATATTTGATCACAAAATCGCGGTGAGTTAAATTATAATAAAATAAATTATTTATGTAAAATTAGTAATAAGTGATATACCTACCTAAAAGATGATCGTTGTCTACCTAAAAGATGGTCGTACCTATGATCGTTTTTAATTTGTTCACCCTGAACGAAATTTCAATATTAGCATTAGTAATTAATATCCTAAGACAAGAATTGACAATTACTTAAATTGAATCGAATTAGCATTAATGCCTATTATTAGTAATTAGGTACACACATATTGAAGAACTCTCAAGAATACGATAAATATTTGCAAAAATAGAAAGCTGAAGCGCACACGTACTTTACAACACGTATATTATCTGCCTAAGGGTCAAGTTTAGTGCACTAGATGCAAATTGCAAACAATGAAGTATCCCTTCGCCCCTCCCCTCCCGCGTTCTAGCGAAGGATATATTATCAGCGATTCTTGATTGACAAATATTATCTGACCAATAATTTTATCTATAAAAATGTATCACTTTCACTCGATAAATTAAATTACCGTTATTATATCAAAATATCATTCAACAACTGTTCGTTTTTAACAGAAATCAACAGTAACGGGCTCAACGCTTAACGGTAGGTACATGGTATAGATAATTCTCGGTTCTAGGTATAGACCACAGAACAATATTACCTACTCTTACGAGGTATACGTCTGTTGGGCGATGCAATGTTGATGCATTCTAATTTACAACTGTATTCTTCTACTATTCGGTCTATTTTAACTTATTGTAGATAACTTGTTGCTTTAAATATTTTGATGCATTCAAGTCTAAGCTCTATACACCCCAAAATAAAATACAATTACTTTAGTGTTATTTCTTTACAAAAAAAAAATCAAAGAAATGAAACGATTTCTTATTGGTTTAAATTTTAGTTTTATTGCAGTCAGGTGAATCGTTCATACATGTATCTACATATTTATAATTTTAGCGGACCAGTGCAGATTTTCTGTTGATTGTAGCTCCGGTAGTAAAAAAGACTAAATTAATTTTAAGTAAAGAAACTAGTGCGTAAGATCAATTAGGGAAAAAAACAAAATAAATAATAGGTAATAATAATGAATAAATATTGAATGTATTTAACACTGTACGCAACTGTACCGAAATCGTAAGGTGTATTACACTAAACATTTTAAAAGACAGCGCAATGTACTGGGTGATCGCTTTATTGTAACCACCTAAACATGGTCGGATTACCACGGACTTGCACCTTCTAATGACTTTTATTTAATTATTTCGTAAATTATTATATGTACGACGCTGAAATTCTACAGGTAGACAACTGAACTAAACAACTAATTATTGGCATAACATTCAGTTTATATATCCACACACAGGTTTATCGGTGGCCAAAAAAGGCCGCATACATTTTGATCGTGAACGTGGAGAGCTACATTTCATCATAACTTTTTAGTCACTTACAGTATTCTTACGAAAATTCGTATACATTTGAAGGTAGTTACAAGCAATAGAATAACGTTTCAAGTAAGTCTTTAGAGGTCTTATTTAAAGTGTTAGGACGTATTGAAGTGTTTTCATACTTACCTAAATAATTTTTAAACGGTCCATTATTTTTGTTATTTTATTGTCGAACAAATTAAAACTAATCCTTAAGAAGTTATGTACAAAAGATAGTAACAATCCGCTTACCCGTTTCAGAGATCCAGCAAACCCACAAACGTTACTCCAGCAGGATTTCGAATAACTTCGCAGCCGAAGAAGATACAAATACCAAATAAGTTGTAACATTTACCTAGTCCAGATAACTAATTATTTAGCTAAAATTTATTTCAATATTACAATTAAAAAAGAAAATGTCTGGCTGCGGTAACGTTTCAAACGTTACCCCAGCAGGAAATGTTTTTTTGAAATAACTAAAAAAGTTTAAGTGAAACAAATTTAAAAATGTGCTTAACAATTACAGAAGGGGAGCAACTAATTATCTATAAAGTTTAAATTACCATTTTCGACATTATTTTGCTGGGGTAACGCACACTGTATGTACATGTATGTACACATACATAGATAAACAGATTGACAGTTCCGTTTGACAAGACCATCCAACTGTTTGATTTGATGATGGAGATGGATGATGGATGGATGGATTTTAATTCTGCCATATGTTTATATTCTGCTCCGTTATTAAGCGTAATTTTTAATTGTTCTAAACTATATATAGGTAATTTATAAATTTACAACTTCGAATATTATAATATTGTTTATAACAGCTTTTTATCATCACAAGACATTTTCCTTAATAATAAATGTATATAACATATAAAATACGTAACAAAACACATATTTACGTATTAATAAGTAAACAACATCGTGATATCTTGAACTTATGAATGGAATTTTCAGTGCATATTCCCAGAAAGAACATATTATGCAGTAGTAAGTTACTGTTAAACAAGCTATTATGTATTATATCGTTCTAATAATAGATGCGTGAAACATGCTGTATTGTAAATAGATATTAAAATTACATTAAATCTCGCTATTAGAGGAAGGCGGTCGGGAAAACCCGAGAAACAGCTTTGCGAAGAACCCGGAAGCAATTTTACATGATGTATATGGAAAGGGCTATGCTCGGCGTTTCTCTAAGGGATCGCATCAGGAATGAGGTGATCCGGCAGAGAACCAAGGTCACCGACATAGCCTACCGGACCAGCAAGCTGAAGTGGCAGTGGGCTTGCCATATTAGCCGCAGAACCGACAACCGTTGGGGAAAACGAGTTCTTGAGTGGAGACCGCGTCTCGGCAAACTTAGTGTAGGACGCCCATAGGCCAGGTGGAGTGACGATTTGCGCAAGATGGCTGGCAGGAGCTGGATGCGAGAAGCCCGAAATCGATCTCAGTGGCGTGCAATGGGAGTGGCCTATGTCCAGCAGTGGACTGCGATAGGCTGATGATGATGATGATAAATAACACTGTTAATGAGAATGTTACGCATATGTAGTTTTGAATATGGATTTGTATACGAATAAATGACTAACATTACCTAAAACGTTTTCTATGACGGTTTACGGATGTTAAAAAACTCTGATTATCCGATAGATTCGGATAATTCCAGTTACGCATATTACATTTGTAAGTAATTTCTATAAGGAAAATATACATTGGGGTTGACTTTTTTACAGGTTATCATTCAGGACTACAATTACAAAACATAGTAATCTCTTTAAAGTGTTATTAATTATCTAATTCCTGACACTGTCAGATTAAATACAAACAGCTGGTGTCGGATAAACTATTATTAAATTCTACAGTTTTTGTGTGATACATATACGTACGTACAATAAACAGTCGTATTTTAGGGTCGTTTAATATTTTACCAAAGATTTCCTCTCTAGGTTACACCTGTCGCTGTTTTAGTCGGTATATACCAGGGATTTCCTATCTAGGTTACACTTTAGGTTACAGCTACTGCTTTAGCCGGTTAGAGCATGACGTAACCTTTCCACCGAATGTCCGATGGGATATCCGAGGGGATTTCGGCACGAAAAAAAGGGTACAAGGGTATAATATGGTTACCTTCTTCATTATTTCTGGTTTAGTTGATAAAGGTAGTAGAAAATTTGAATAAAATTCGTGATATTTAATATGTAAATAAAATTTAAATTTTAATCAAACTTATATGAACCATCAGATTTCGTAAAAGTCTATGAATCATAAGTATACAAAATAATTGTCATTCGTTATTCGTTGAACAATTCTGTTTTAAGGGCTAAATGATGAACACATTGGCTATATAATTGGCTATATATATAAGTATATATATATATATTAGACTTGCAACGAATAGTATATTCGGCAGTATACCGAATACCGAATATTCGGCGAGGCCCCTGACCGAATAGCCGAATATTAGGCAAAAGTATTCGGCTGGATTTTAGCGCCAAAAACTTGTACAGGCGTGAATTAAATTATGTACCTGTTTTATGTACCAATGACTACTTAATAAATGATTATAAAAGAAATGAGAACCTTACCCTTCTAAATTTTGATTACCACAATAATTCAAATACATAGAATCCTCCATTTTTCCAATTCAGAAAATGATTATGTACCTGTGTTATGCACCAATGACTACTTAAATGATTATAACAGAAATGATAATATGAATATATACGTAATCAATCGATTTTAATTTTTCATTTTACCAATTATTTCTCAATGACAAAATATATTATTTAAGTATTCGGTATTCGGCCGAATAATATGTAGATATTCGGTATTCGGCCGAATATAATAAAAGCAGCCGAATAGGCCGAATACCGAATAGTAACCGAATATTCGTTGCAAGTCTAATATATATATATATATATATATATATATATATATATATATATACTAGTTGACCCTGCAAACGTTGTTTTGCCATATACATTATTTCAAAAAAAATAGGGGTATGAAAAATAGATGTTGGCCGATTCTCAGACCTACCCGACATGCACACAAAATTTCACGGAAATCGGTCGAGCCGTTTCGGAGGAGTTCAACTTCTAACACCGTGACACCAGAATTTCATACGAGTATATTATAGAGATATATGTATAATACGTACATTTGATCTCCCTGCGGTGCCGGGTGAGATACTTCGATGAATGCACCCTCCCCGATCTCTACGCAGAGACGATCTGTGGCTACTTCTGGAGGCTCCCACCTGCCTGGCACACCTCTCAGACGTTCTAGACCTATAAAAATTAAGTTCTTAAATGAGTTCTCAAAGAGTTCGATTTCAATATTCGTTATCGGTGGAGACTCTAATGAAGCAATTTGTTCAGCGTTTTTTTAAGTCTATTATGTTCTATTCTCTAAAACTCAATTTTATAACTATACAATAAATGTAGTTAAAATATTATTTTCTTTAAAAAGACAACTCCCGCATTAGGAATATATCCTGTGTCGCGGGGGACTTTCCAAACATATATGAAACGGACACAAAGAACACCCAGACTCAGAACAACAATTTGTGGATCACACAAAGTGTCGTCCCATGTGGGGTTACAACCCACAACACTCGGCGTAGGAAGCGGCGTGGCGACCGTTTAACCACTTAAACCATATCGTATCCGTATCTTCTTTTTCTCTTTATGGACATGAAGTGAAATCAAGCTCTTGAAAGAAATCAAAATGAGAAAGATGTGCAAGTGCTTTATCAAGTAAGTTGTAACAGTTCACGAGAACGAGAGAGTTTTATGTTTTTAGGGTTCCGTACCTCAAAATGTAAAAAAGGAACCCTTATAAGATAATTTTCTTGTCCGTCTGTCAATGTGTCACCACCGATTTTCTCATGAACGGGTAGACCTAGCAAGTTGAAATTTATACCAGATACTGAGGTCTATGGTCCCTATTAGGTGTATAAAAATCAAGGTCCTGAGTCAACACGATAAAAAGATATGGGCAAATTTCGATTTTCGCGAAAACTTGTAAGTAACGTCTTACGTAAAAGAAACGTCTCACAGCACAAATAACGGAATAATTCCAAAAATAAAAAAAAAAAGCTGAAAAATAACATAAATTTTGGTACTTACAAATTTTTGCGAAAATCTACGTAAAATCTGGGTAGGTACGGAACCCTTGACGCACGAGTTAGGCCCTTATTTTAAAAGACGTCTCAAGTGTCGGTTGAACTCTGATTGCCTGAAACTAGTTTTAAGTGCAGATCAAATCTTAAGTATCGATCTTATTAAAGAACGCGTTTTAAGTTTTACTCAGATGAAACTAGTTTCAAGTATTGATTTGAACTTACAGTCTGTTCTCAATTACGTTTCCGCATGATTGACACTATTAAACCGCATTACGCAGCTAATTATTTAAAAAATAATTTTCTTTTACAGAAATAATTTCTGTGACTTTGTATATAATATACTATTGGCTAGTGTACCAATGTTAACATATTAACAAGCTTGTTATTCTTTCAAAATTAAGTATAATAAATATTAAAATAAAAATGCCTAGCTGTATGAATAAGCTATAACGGAACGTTCAAGTTATTTATCAACACTTGTCATGTTGAAATGTCAAACGATGTTTTTATTTGATATTTCTAAAATTTATATTACTATACTTTTAACATAAACCAAAAGGTTGTGCTAATTTAAACTGGTATTGTGTGTGTAAAATGTGAATTTTGGTGAATTTCATATCAATTAAGGTAAATGAAAGTGAAATTGATTATAGTATGCCAAGTAGTTCTTTCGTAAATAAAGTAAAGTAAATCTTTCGTAATTATTCAAAAATAAATCATCGTAAAACACATTAATTTCCCCTAAGTGCCCTAGAAATCACCGCTTAAGACTAGTTTCAGCTTGTCTGACGTAAAGAAAGATTACAGCTGTCAAAATCTATACCTGAGTAATGATTTCGACATAAACATCGTTCTAAAATAAGCTATCACTCACTTGAGTATGGAGTGTCGAATCTCGTTTTAAGTGACGTTCAATAATAAAATCTCTACTTAAAATTAGTTTTAAGACTAGATTCAAGACTGAGACAACTTTTAAAATACGGGCCTTAGACTCGTACCTGACCGTTTTTTTAATAGATTCTGCAGTTACTAACCTTCGCTTACATAGGAGTCCCAAACCGATTTCGAGTTAGTCAGACGAGCAGCTATGTTTTGGAGAAGGAAATCAGCCGGCTTGTATGGTTTAACTTCATAGTCCCATCCGCCTTTGTCGTTTCTTGCAGCCTTCTCACAGAATATGTATACGTACCTGATAATAAATACAAGAAACATATTAGAGGTCATTCTACTAAATTTATGAAGGTTCAAAATCTAGGATAGTGTTTTTGTGGTTTTTTGACAACTCCCGCACTAGGAAAATAATCTTGTGGCGTGAGTGAACTTACAAACATATGTATGTTTTTCAAAAACTGTATATCTTAAAATGATAAAAGTGAGATAAATATAAAACATCCGGCGAACGGACACAAATAACACCCAGACTCGAGACAACAATTTGTGGATCACACAAAGTGATATCCCACGTGGGGATCGTACCCACAACACTTAGCGCAGTAGGAAGGTAACCGCTTAAACCACTACGCCATCCGTGCAGTCGTATAATTTACCATTGTTTACTCTCTTTTACTACTATTCTGTCTCAGTCTAGTTTGATCTATATATGTTTTTTACATGTTTGTTTGTAACTGACTCCTTTGGGCGTGATTTTGACTGACTTTAAACGGTCAGAATTCGTTCAACCATTGTAAATACTCGTATAACGAGGACCGATGACAATACACTAATTTAAAATAAATAATATTAAAACTATTTTTTTTTTGTTTATATCTGTCCATACCAAAGAGTTTGATGTGCAAAAACATCAACATTGATATGAATACATTACTGGTTTGTGTATAAATAATCTTATTTCTTTTATCTTATCTTTGGAATGGAAAAAGAATAAGACTGTGTCGGGGACTTGAGGTCTTAACATTGACCCAGGAAAATATAATATAATTTTTGACTGGCCTTGTTAGGGCAAGGGACCTAAGGGGCTGCTAAGCCTGAGGTCGTAAGTTCGATTCCCACCCCGAACAAATATTTGTGTGATGAGCACGATCATTTGTTCTGTGTCTGGGTGTAATTTATCTATGATATGTAGGTATGTATTTAGAAATATATAAGTATGTTTAACAGCAGTCTGGTAACCATGGCACAGGCTTTGCATAGTATGGCACCAGACTGCTGGTTATTATTTTAACAGCAGAGGTTATTATTATAACCTTACACATTTCACACGCGGCCGTCTGATCTCAAACAAGGCAGAGCCTGGTCTATTGCAACCAGACTTCTGATAAACTGCTGATACTTAGTATTAATAATAATATTTCGGACATCTGACACACAACGCCATCTAATTTCAAACTAAGCAGAGCTTGTACTATGAAAGCTAGGATGACTGATAGAATACTTAACTTTTTTCTGTAAATACATACATATTATACATAGAAAACGCCCACAACTTCAAAACAAATATTTGCAGAGTATACAAACACTTGGTCCGACCCGGGAATCGAACCCGAGACCTCAGCACAGCAGTCGCATACGCTACCACTGCCCCACCGACGCAGTAAGGAATAATATGGAATATAACGTCAGAGGCTATGGGTTTCATTCTTTCTCGGTGCAAACATTTGTATGCATATTCTGCTTTATGTTTTGCTTCTTTATATTTATCCTTGTTCAATATAGAACTGTTCTAAATGAGTATATACTTACAAGTAACTAATATGTCATACAATATTATTATTAAAAAGATTACGAACTCGTAGTTTTTTTAAGACTACTCCCGCACTATGAATATATGTCGTGTGTCGCGGGGGACTTCACAAACATACATGATGTTGGTAAATGTGAGTTATGAAAGCAATCATCATCATCATCATCATAATCATCAACAGCATTTAACAGTCCACTGCTGGGCATAGGCCTCTCCTTAGAAAGGAGGTTTTGGCCTACTATTCAAACATAAATTTGTATTTCAGTAACGTTTTGCGCCTTTGAGTTATCTCCGAATATGTTGAAAACCTCAGATTACTACTGCGCGGAGTACCTACCAACCGATTAAAAGAAATGTACATATATTCGTGATTAGGGATTAAAATTGTCTGGCTCCAGTGAAATAATTTAGGATAACTAAATTACTTTTTTGGTCACACTGAATATGGGATATTGAATAAAATAAAGAAAATCCGTTAAAAATTAGCTAGTGAGCTATTGTTTTGACCTATTTATATGCAAATTGATATTTTATTATATTATCCATTCAAATGGAACAAGTTCAAAATCACGTACGTACCTACGTTTTGCGTAGATAATAATAACGTAACAAAGCTGTGCTATAAAGTTGTTTGTTTGTTTGTATATTTGTTTGAAAACGGTTATCTGTGCTATAACACAGATGTCCCGTTTATTGAGGTTATAATAGGCTATAAATTATTGGTATTTGGCATAAAGTCAAAATACGCCTTAAGAATCTGAACGGAACAATAATCATACAAATGAAATGGCGAAACTATTTTGGCAGCCCTGTTGGTTTAGTAGTTAGATCCTTGAGTCAGAGGTTATAGATTTGGGTCTGGATGCCTTGAAAAAAGCTGGATCATCCTGTTTAAGGCGCGATTTGACACACAGTGACACAGAGTGATTTATTTATTTAAAAATTAATGCACATGTTCTACAAAGGCGGACTTAATGCCATTAGGCATTCTCTCCCAGTCAACATTCAGGTGATGTAGAAATATGATGCGGTAGGTGTAAAATAAAATATTTAATTTAATATAATTGAAGTCCAGAATACACATACATACATACATAAACCAAAATAAATTTAATAAAATGTATTAATACTGAGTCGGATACTAGCGTTGTGACTGTTCTGTCAATTCAGATTTAAGAGATTTAATTCGGTTCGGTTCCGACACCGCCCCACCGCCAACACCGGTGGGATTACAGCCAGAAGGGGTTTCCACACATACAAGTGGTTCGACCCCTAGTCAGGACAAATATTTTCTAGGTGACATTTATTGTGTCTGTAGGTGTAACTATGTGTAAATATGTACGAATTTAGTAATATACACGTATGTCGACCAGCAGTCTAGTTACTATAGTACAGGCACTGCTTAATTCGGGATCAGAAGGACGTGTGTGAGGCGTCTCAAGTTATGCTTATCCCAAAAATATTTTCATGTAAAATGTTGACAAGACGAGACCATATGGCTCGCACTGTCAAAAAGTTATCTGAGGCCCAAGTGCGAGTTTATTTCACATCAACTTGCTCTAGACAGCGAACGCGTTTGGCGTTGTGATTGGTGCAGATTTCAGTGCGGGCCAATCACAGCGCCGAACGCGGTCACCTTGACGATCGAGTAGAAGTTAAATAAACTCGCACTTGGGCCTCAGATCTATGTGGCTTGGCCGTTTCGTTATTACAAGTACTATTGTATAACAGAAAAGTAATGAACAGAGAATATTTTTTTCACCTTTTTACCCATGTGACGGTAGCGAAACTGCCAAGCCACATAGATCTGATAACTTTTTGTATGACAGAAAAGTAAATGAAATGATATGACAATAGCAAAAATGACGGAAACTGCCAAGTCCCATAGATCTGATAACTTATTGACAGTGCCTCGCTTAGCTAGTCTGGGTATCTTGGACCGCACTTAAATTTATGGATTCATATTGTATCTACGAGTATCTACAAATAAGGAATTGAATGAACTAGTAAAAAGTTTTGATTGATTTCATATAACTATAGAATTATATAAATTTACATTATATTCAATAATGTTATAAAGCTAAATAACAGCTAATTATGTATTTAGTTCAATTAAAGTTATATATACCTATATGTTAAATAATAGATAAAGTCTCAAGTGTTACGTCAATTGTCAATATTCCTGCAAACTTCACTATTTTCCTTATGTAGTCTTATACAATATATTCGTACGTTTGCCTAAAGATCGTTTTGTACAGATTTTTTTTATTGAATAAAGGAATATGCGTTTGTTTTCCAACAACTCCTCTGATTAACAGTGACAGTTGCAGACTTCAAAGGGTTAAGCCGTAAGGTGTATATCGAACTTTTGATTTTGTGATGAATGGATGGTGTCTGCGTTGAGTAAAAGAAATGGTGCGGGATTAATTACTTCGAAGAAAACTTTCGTACACTTACGAAAGTAATTCCTACAAAACCTTTTAAATTCTTTAATAATGTAAACAAACAAATGAGGTGTTTACCTGTGATGAAAACTCATATATACGGAATAAACACTTATTACATTTGTGGAAAATTTATTTTTATTTGTCGCTAATGTGTCAGTAGGTATCCCCTACTTACAAGAATTTTGTAAACATTTATATTTGAAAACAAATAAACTTAAATAAATTGTATGATGTATTTCTTCCAGACGTTCATTTTTAGGGTTCCGTACTTCAAAAGGATCCCATATAGGATCACTTTGTTGTCCGTCTGTCAAGTAAGAAATCTAACTAAAGTTAATGTAAAAAAACTCTCAAGGGTATTAAAATTATAGGGTACTCCCGTTGACCTAGAACTATGAAATTTGGCAAGCGTACAGCGTCTCATACTACAAATACAGGGAAAAATCTGAAAACTATACATTTGTAATAAAATTACAAAAATATAGCCTTTATTTAAAACTAGCTGACCCGCGCAACTTCGTCTGCGTCTCTCAATAGTAATAATTTTTCTCCGTTTTTGAAACATTCTTCATTGGTGCTCCGCTCCTATTGGTCTTAGCGTGATGATATGTAGCCTATAGCCTTCCTCGATAAATGGGCTATCTAACGCTGAAAGAATTTTTCAAATCGGACCAGTAGTTCCTGAGATTAGCGCGTTCAAACAAAGAAACAAACATACAAACTCTTCAGCTTTATAATATTAGTATAGATAAGTAAATATAGGTTTTGGGAACTGAATTTCGGGAAAAGCATGGAAAAAGTCTACTAGACTCGATTCCTGTTATATAAATATTACGAACATACAAATTTGTACGGAACCCTCGATGGGCGAGTCCGACTCGCACTTGTCCGGATTTTTCTCAGTTAAAAGTTATTTATTATAAAGAATGACGTAAAATCAACCGTTTTTGCCAAGTGTAATAGGTATGCCTCAAATTACATAAGTAGGATTGAAAAAATGTGGTTGTTTTTATACACCTCTGTCTAACCCTTCGGGGATAA